GATGGTAACTAACTGCAGTGGGGAACGCTCCTTCTCCAAATTGAAAAGAATTAAAAATGAATTGAGAAGTACAATGCTTCAAGAGAGATTAACCAGTTTGTCGCTGATGTCCATAGAATCTGATGTGCTAAAAAACATAGATTTTGAAGTGAAGAAGTGATTAACGATTTTGCCCATCTAAAATCTAGAAGGGTTCCTCTTCAAATAACATAGATTTTTAAGCACTAACCTGTAAATGCTAAAAGAGTTACTTTTGTGGACTATATTACATTTATCTATTTGTTTCATGTGATTGTTAATAAAAATAAATCTTTAACCTTGTTTATCTACTTTCTTTGTCTATTCTATATCGCGCCACTCTTGTATACCTTATACACTTCACTTATTTTTAAAGGCATTAAATTTAATAAGTTTCATATGTATGCCGATGATACTCAGCTGTATTATTCTTTCAAACCTGAGGAATATATTGCTGCTCAAGAGAAAATCAATCTGGACCTCCAAACCCTGTGGGTAACATCAAATATGCATCAGTTGAAATTAAATCCAGCTAAATCTGCGGTTGTGCTGTTCGGCAATCGGCGTGTCTGTGCGGAGTTGAAAAATCTAATAAACATTAACATAGATGGATGTACCCTCCCCATTGTCGAGGAGGCTAAGAGTTTGGGTCTTTCTTTGTCAAATGATTTTAGATATGGCACTCAAATTAGCCGGTACATAAAAAATGCATATATGGGCCTGCGGATGATATATCCTCACAGCTCGTGTCGTCCTACTCGCTTAAGAAGGAGACTATGTGAAGCACTTGTGTTGTCATAATTTAATTACTTGGTTCCAGTGTATCACCCTGCGATTGGTACTCTTGATGCTAAACGCATTCAAGTAGTTCAAAATAACTGTTTAAGATTTATTTATAATATCCGTAAATACGATTCCATAACTCATAAACTAACTGAAGCAGGGTGGTTGTCAATGGGTAATAGAAGACAACTTCACACGCTGCTATTTTATAATAAATTAATTAACTCTGAAACTCCTGAGTATTTATTTAATAAAATTCGTTTTAACTGTTTGGTTCGGACNCCGGGCATTATGTTATAAATTTTGTTAGAAATTTACTATAAAACATTACAATCATACAACTTGAGAATTCTGGTTAGCCTGCAATAGAGGCTTGGGTTGAGTTGTATTAATTTTCTACTGTAAGGTATTACAATGTTATTGTTTATCATCTCTACAAGAGTTGTTAATCATAAGAGTTCATCATAAGTTTATTTCCAATGTTTCTAAATTGTTTTTTATTTTTAACAAAAAGAAAACCTGTATAGAAATAATTTATTTTTTAAGAATATTTGAAAAAATAAAAATTTACTTAGATATTCCCAATCTACTTATATTTTGTATTTTTCCATCATTTTGCATATATTTTAAAGTACTGAAGATGAAACAATCGTTTCGAAACATGTCTACTCTTTAATAATAAATTTTAATATTTAATTATTTCTCACAAAAAGTTTTTACTTTTTCTATTTTTATATATTTTATCGAGAAATATGGAGAATTTCATCCCTTTTACCTTTTAAAAGTGCGAAATGATGGTTGAGCAAAAAGCAGACTGTACTTATTCAAAACACATGCCGCGTTATAACTAAAAGATCTCTTGAATGGTTGGGTACGGTGACGAGAAATGTCAATGAGGTCCTTACGTCGTACATTAATATTATGAATGTCCGTTCTGTAAGTAATTTTGTGAGGTAAGGTGGTACAACTTGACACAACTTTATAAAGAAAACAACCAAAATGTAACTGACGACGACTTGACATATTCAGCCACTTCAACTTCTCTAGCTTATACGATACTCTCTGACGTCGGCGTATACCAAATATAAAACGAACACAAGAATTCTGAACTACCTGAATACGTCGCACATCAGTACTCAACAGCCAGTGGCCGTAAATTGTGCCACAGTATGTAAAATTGGATAAAGTTACAGACTCACAAAGATTCCTTTTTATATCTATGTTCAAGACTTGTCTATGAGCAAACAGCATTTTCAATTTTACGTAAGCACGTCTGATCAGTTCACGTGCGTTACGGGTAAACCTTAAGCTCCCGTCAATGTAAGGTCCAAGATCCTTTACACAGACCTTCCTCTCCAATTCAATTACATCTATAAAGATATGGGCCATATTGCTGACAAACGCTTTGGATTCCCTACCCCCGAATACCATTTATTCCTATTTAACAAAAGACCATGTTTTTTAGAAATACTTAAAAATTTATCTAAATCGCCGTTCTCCAAAAAAGCCTGGTACATTTCGCTGTTCAAATTTCCGTCGAAAAAATGCGGTCCAATAACAACATTATTAATTATTCAAGCCCAAACGTTTACGGAGAATCTACTCTGAAAATGGGTTTCTCGAACAGCATGATGGTTTTCGAATCTCCACACATGTTCGTTACGAAAATTGTTGATTCCATCTCTAGTAAATGTAGCTTCGTCACCAAAAAGAGTTCTTGAAAGAGTATTCAGATGATTTCTCCACCATTCACAAAGGCGAACTCTTTGGGGAAGATCCTCGGGAAGAAGTTGTTGTACTGGTTGGTAATGATAGGGATGCAGTCCGTTTTCCCGGAAAGTGGCATGCACAGCCGTCCTAGCTTGTCCAGGAAGTACAGAAATTCTCGTACTAGTACCATCATCATTATCAACAGCCTCAAGCACTTCTGCAGCATTGTTTCTTCGCCTAATTTCTCTTTCACAAGTTGATTTAGGGAACGCACCTCTTAATCGAAGAGTTGTGAAGACTCTACCGAAGGTTTGCTTGTCTGGAAGATGGCGGTTTGGGTATCGTCGTTGATATTCCCTAACTGAGGCGGTGGTATTACCGTTGCAATATCCATCTTCATGTGGATAGGTTGCAGGCGTGATTTTAGCACAATTGATAACAATGATGACAATTAATGACCTGAATGTCAACAATTTTATTCTAATATCAATTAAATGGCTAATTATTCAATTACCGAAGTTATACGGATGTTATACGGAAGTTATACGAAGTTTCGCGGATACCTCAGCAGACATCCTGTATAGTTTTTCTCGTATGATGCAGTCATAGGCGAACTTGAAGTCGATGAATTTATGGAATGTGTCGATGTTGTGCTCTGCTCCAAGATCTGCTGTGGAACAAACATTTGGTCCATTATCAATGTTGGGCTCCCTTTTTTATTGGTAAGACAGGTGATCCGAAAGTTTCACTCCTCGGGGATTTCTTCTGTAGTCCATATTTGTTTGCATATCTTGTGTAACTGACAGGTGAGTAGAGCAGCTGCCTATTTGACGAATTCCACAGAAGTTTGGTGGCTGCCAGAAGAATTACCATTTCTTAGGTTTGAAAGGCTTCTTCTATCTCTGCTTGGGTTGGTTCTTCCTGTTTCTCGTTCCAACGTATTCGCGTTAAACAGCCGATCAAAATACCGAGTCCATCCATTTAACATTAATTGGGGATCGACACAAGATTCTTATTTGTATCCTTGCATATCGCCAACTCAGATATTGCGGAATATGTTTTTTTTGTTTGTTACGATTGAAATCAAAGCTTAACATTTTCGCGTATAACTCGAAAACGGTCAATGTTATCAAAATTTTCAAAGAGTGATAAAAGTTTCTAAAATAAATTTTCTATTAAAAAGTACAAAAATAAATGTAGGGTTACGAGCGAACAAAAAAGTTTTGAGCAAACAAATTTTAGGGACAGGCTGTATAGCATGGTTGCCGCCCCCCGATCAAAGTCAAAATTGGTTCAATGATTTTGCTTGATATTTGTTTACCCTGTACCAAATTTCAACGCTCTACCTTAAATGATATTGAAAATATTTAGAAAAATGTGTTATCATTTCTGAACTTTGATGGCCCATATCTTGGCCATTTGAAGACTTTTATAGTAATTTTTTTTCACGAATCGTCATCATTTTTGCTCTAGTATATGAGGTAAATTTTATGCCCCGAGTCACCGGAACAGCCTGTATAACAATCTAAGAGTAGAATAAGCTCTTTGCAATAACAAACTGACATGCCTTCTAAACCTCAAACTGCTATCCAAGATAATGCCCAAGTTACGTCCCTCCTTAATAACATTAAGCTTATTTCCATCAATGACGACACAAAATCATCTCCAACTGATTCAATAACGTTATTATTACCAAACAATAGAACAACTGATTTTTTTGGGTTTATTTGCAAACATAGTTTATTAGCCTCTCCGATAAGCGCTGCCAAATCCGAATTTAACTGTTATTGTGCAGAATTAATAGAATTAATTTGAAAACTATGTAATAGTTGGGTATCAAGACGGTACGTGTAAATTAAATAAAGAATCGGATATTGTAGTATTCTTTTATGCTAATAAACTATTATTATTATTATTACCTCGTGGTCCGCACACTCGCCAGATTTAGCCCCATGTAGTTTTAATAAATACGTCTTTAACAACTATCCTACAACTCTGGAAACAATAAAAATAAAACACTCGTCATGAAATAGCCAACATACCGATTGGTATGCTGGATAGAGTCAACTTGCACTTCAAAAAAATTTTAGTGCCGAACCCTATTACAGACACTTTGTTCCTTGTAGAATAATATATTGGCAAAATGGTAATAGATTTCAATATGTTATGTACAATATTGCCGAATACAACATACTGCAGAGCCATTGTTAGAGAAAATAAAATTCCGTAGTCTCGTTTGTCAATTGCAGCAACAACAAAAAAGAAAACGCGTAAAAAATTACATCGTTATTTTCAAGTGGAATGATTATTGCGTTGTAAAAATAGCTTCAAACATTTAGACAGTTTTTCCGTTACAAAAAAATACTCCAATCAGAAAAAAGCACATTTTACCAGTTATCAGGAATCTCTACAAATCTTACAATAAAGTATGGGGTGAAAATTAGTAAATATCTTAATTATTAATAAATAATCATAAATTAATATCTTACGGTAATGGTGCTTCATCAATTGCTGACCTCGATGTAGTTTTTCCTTGATAATTAACTGTAACATGTTGAGCAGTATTTCCAGCGTCTTTTTTAATCAACTGTTNAGTATTATTAAATCTTTTTATTTTTGTATACTTTATTTTTTTTTTCTCTTTCTTTTGTATCAGGGTGACAATGGAAGATCAGGTCGTTGTTCCTGAATTGTCGCCCGGCGGTTGTGCGAAGCGAATAGTTAGTAGCTTTCCTTATTTTCGTTCTAATAACTTATATTTAATGTATGCACTGTTGTTAAACTGCTATGATTTTTTTTGCTTATTTGTAGCTTTGCACAATAAACGATTATTTATTTATTTATTTATTCTAACAAAATAGTGTTCTGTCAAAGTCATAGGGGCCCCATTATCCCAATATGCCTCCAATAGGTTAAAGATGGCCCTAGATAGAGTCCACTTGCACTTCAGAAAAATTTCAGTGCCGGACCCTATTACAGGCACTTTGTTCCTTGTAGAATAATATATTGGCAAAATGGTAATACATTCCAATACATTATGTGCAATATTGCCGAATACAACATACTGTAGAGCCATTGTTAGAGAAAATAGAATTCCGTAGTCCCGTTTGTCAACTGCAGCAACAACAAAAAAGAAAACCCGTAATAAAGAATGTGCTTTAGTTGATAATGTCATCGTTATTTTTAAGTGGAATGATAATTGCGTTGTAGAAGTAGCTTCAAACATTAAGATAGTTTTTCCGTTACAAAAAAATACTGCAATCAGAAAAAAGCATGGGGTGAATTTACATTCTATGGATTCTTTATAGACCAATAAATTATTTCCATACCATTCGATTAAAGAGACGAGATGTTAAAGATAAGAGAAGAAAACAACTTTTCCAAAAAATTAGTAAATATCTTAATTATTAATAAATAATCATAAATTAATATCTTACGGTAATGGTGCTTCATCAATTGCTGACCTCGATGTAGTTTTTCCTTGATAATTAACTGTAACATGTTGAGCAGTATTTCCAGCGTCTTTTTTAATCAACTGTTCGAAAAATTGACGTAACTCCTCATCATCACCGCTTGATTTTTCAGTTGAAACGCTTGGATTTTGAGTTGAAGAAAACGTTTGTTTCTCATTAGATGTACTTGACTTTAGCGACCCTGTAGTTGAAGACGGGGTTTGAACGGTAGGTTTTGGAGTAATTAAATTAGAAACAACAGGTTTTGTAGTTGAAGGTGTTAAGCTGTTAATAACCTGTTGGGTTTTTCCACTATTTGCCCAAACACCTTGAGGAACATTTTGATTTTGGTTTAAATTTTGATTCAAATTTTGTTTTTGATTTAAATTTTGATTCAAATTTTGTTGTTGGTTTATATTTTGTTTTTGATTTTGATTCAAATTTTGGTTTTGATTTAAATTTTGATTTTGATTCAAATTTTGTTTTTGATTTTGAAAATTATTTTGCGGTTTTGATTGTGGTACAAGCACAGCTTGACCCGGTCCATAAGACAGTGCAAGTCCACTATGTGCACCATCAGCATAATTGGGACTATTAAGTCTTTGAGGTAGATTTTGTTTTGAATTAATTTGAGTATTATAAGATAACTGAGTATTTTGATTATTTGGTTGAGGAATGATTTTTTGTTGATTATTATGTTGTTTCTTAGCTCCTAATTGTGGCCATGGAGTAGTAGTTGAGGATCCTCCAAAAGAAGTGTTAATTGGTGGATTCGTAGTTGAAGTAACAACACCTTTATACAAACGATAAATTAATTTTTTAATATAAAAATAATGAGTTGTAAGAATTTATTAAAAAAAATTAACATCTTCAACTTACAAAAATAATTATAAAAGAGAAAGTAATACTTACAGAAAACATCCAAAAATATAATACCCAAAACCACAACAAAAAATGATACGTAATTACCACCTATATCTGCCATTTTCAACAAAGAACCTCTTCTTTTCTCATCACTGCTTGTATTAATCTTTAAAACTTTCAAGTCAGATGTTTCTAGGAGAGATTGACCTTCACTACTTGCGCGCGCAACGAGCAACAATTTCATAACCTATTTCTTTTAAGTAGACTTTAACCGCCAAATAAAAATACAATTTCTGCTAATACATAAATTTATTTTTTGATTTTTTAAAGAATTTTATTTGTAAACAACAAAAACATCCTAAAAGCTAATAATCTCAAGTATTTGATATTGGTTTTCCTTTTAAGTATCGTCATTTTTTTATTGTTGTCCTCATCATTCCAAAAGCGGGAAAAAGACACAAATCCAAACCACGAAACAAACTATCATGCCGATAAAGGTATAAGATTTTTGTTTATCCCATACAGCAACAACTTGTTGGCGCGGTTTTCTTTTTGGATTGTACTGTTGAGCTTCAGCATCATTAACCTTTAATAAAAAGAAACAGTAAGTTTTTAAATAAATCAACCTTTAATACATTAAAATCTCAATGTAACATCCGAAGATGCACGGATAAACTCGAAACTTTCTAGTTCTAGATCTAGTGTTAGTTCTAGTTTTAGTTCAATGAAAAATATAGAACAATCTAATGCTGAATCACAACTAAAACTAGAACTAACACTAGTATTAGAACTAACACTAGACCTAGAACTACTAGAAACATTCGGGTTCAGCCTTTTTAAGAGAATATCCTGAAGGGAACGTTCTCAAATTTCAACAAACTTATCTATATCATTTACTATGTGTTAATGAAATTTCGAGTTTTCAATCAGAAACTGTCAAACCAAGCAAACCTAATAATGAACGTATTTGTATTGAAGTGAAAGATAATTTCTTAATAATAAATTATGTTTTAAAAACATGCTTTTATTGATTATATGATTTGATTTAAAGAAACTTTAGATTATTTGATATAAATGTCTGAGTTTATTATCGAGTTCTATATCAACTCGATATCTTAGGAACATAAGATACTATCATAATTGTCATAATAATAATAACCATCCTATCAGCTTCGCCGTGTTTTGGCTTTTGACGCAGACTGATTATATACAGCCACCTAAAGCACGGGATTGATATACTAACACTGCAAGAGGTGAGGTAGAGGGACAATCAGGAATTTACATAATATTCCTGAGCATAGAAAGGAATAAATGGAGCAACCTCTATGATAACACCTGCGATAACGCGGTAAAGTAGAATAATTGAGTTTAATGAAGGGAATGAAAGGACATACATGAGAAAGTTAGAAACCATGATATAACATGAATGAAACCACTACAATAATTGTTATGGGAGACTTTAATGCAAAAATTGGCCTATAAAATGAATATGTCAATATTATAACTAATAGCGGTAACAGATTGTGTAGGCTAGCTTTGGAAAATGGCTTAGTTATAGTGAGCGCAATGTTTGAACATAGGAGAGAGAAAAAATTACATGGAAAGATATGAAAAAAGAAGAATAATGATGGAAATCATAGAGAGGTAAGCGATGTTAATACGTATAAGAAAGCAAATTGAGTTAGACCATTATATAGTGCTGGTATAGCAAAGAACATGATGTATTGGGAAACTGGAAAATCAGAAGTTAAGGAAAACATATCTTGAGAAAATGGCAACCAGATTAAGCAGATTGAACATAGTAAATACACCCACTAACAGATATCTGGGAATCACGGAAAACAAGTATAATATGATGGCAGAACAAGAAATGCAAGGAAGTGGTCAAGAATAGAAATGAAGGCAGGAGAAACTGGATGAGAACACGAAGTGAAAAAGATAAAATGAAATTATATAGAAAGATGCATGGATAAGATACAAAAAGAATAATTCAAAACAGTTCTATCATAAAATAAGGATCCAATCAAACTAAGAACTCGTTAATTCATTAAGGAAGGAGGTAAAGAATTGATGGAAAAGAGGAGAGAAATATAAAAGGACATAAAGCATTGTGACCAGACGCAATGCCTTAGACTTGAGATATCCCAATAAAAAATAGTCACACAAGTTTAGGCCTGGCGACCGTGGAGACCTGTGAATCCATTGAATTCCATTTTTACTGATGGGCAAATTACGCTATTCCAAAACATCGCACACCAAATTCTAACTTTGGCCGAATAGAGAGGTTGTTTCTGAAGTTGACGAGGGTTTTCAGCGGCACAATAGCGAAAGTTATATTTATTAACATATCCGCTGAGGTGGCTCATTTTCACAACTAATTTTATTAATCCATAAATTATCTATGAGCTGTGGGTTGTCATCAACAATCTATAGCATGCGCTCACCAAAACCACGGCGAATAGTCCGATTATCAAAGCATGGACTATTTGAATCTTGTGTGAATGTAGGAGTTGATAAGCTCAATGGGCCTAAGTGTTGCAAAAGCGTTCACAACTGCGGCTTCTAATTGCTGTCGGGAAAAAATCCATAGGTGTTAGGTCCGGTGACCAAGCCGCCCAGCGAATAGAACCTTGATTACCTACCCAACAATCACCAAAAGCTGCGGTCAAGAAATTGTTGACAATAGCAGCATTGTGAGGGGGTGCATCGTCATGTTGAAAAAAATACATTTCGCAGGTGCCCTAGAGGAAAATCGTCAACAACAGGTTCGATTTGTTGCCTAAATATGTTCAAATATTTTATTTGTGCTGTGCATCAGCACTACTTACATACGCTTCATTTGACCAAATACAATTTAAAGAAAAATTGCGTGTTTCGTCACATTTTCCCAAGAGCCATTGGATATTGGGAAAACCAACATCTCCTGGTCTGAGGTAATGGACTTTGCTAGTTCTGTATGGCTTAAATCTGAATTTATACGGCTTTAATTTATACATTTATACGGCTGGTTGAAATTATATTCTGTCGGTATAAGGTCCGTTTTAATTTCAATCAGGTGATTTAGAGATGGGTCCTTGAGGATTTCGAGGTGTCCTCTGAAGTTGCGTTTTGTTTTTGGCCACCAAACCAATGAGGCGTAGGCGACCATGGGTATGATTATTGTTACGTAGGTCCAATAAGCCATTCGTGGTTTAAGACCTCAGTTCCTTCCTAGGAGCCTGCGGCAGATCTGGTTTGCCATGATGGCCTTTTTCCTCACCTTATCTAAACGTGAGTTCCAGTTTAATTTACTGTCTAGTATAACCCCTAGGTATTTAACTTCTGTTTTGAGATTAATAGTTCTGCTTTCAATGGAGGGTGCTTTCATTTGTAGCTTCCTTCTCCGAGTGAAAGGGAATATTTCGATTTTATTTGGATTGATGCTGAGCCCATTGCTTCTACACCAAGTACTGGTGAGTAGTAGGGCTTTCTGCATTAGTTGAGTTATGATTGTGTCATATTTACCTCGGACTGTGAGTACTAGGTCATCAGCATATCCCTGAATCTTGAAACCGTTTTTTGTCAAGGTGTTCATCAAGTCATCAACTACCGTAAGATGGGGCTACTTCGTCACCCCGGGGCTACATGGACACAACGCATACGTGTTCAGTCCTATGTCACAAAAGCGAGATTAGGTTATGTTTTTGTTTCTGGTCTTTTTTTTCTTATTATCAAAGGAAGTCACTGATTAAAAATGGTATGAAAAAACTCCAGGGTCAAAACCCTACATGAATTACAAAGTGGAAGACTTGGAAAAGGCTATAGATGCAGTTCGAAAGGGGATGTTAAGGAAAAAGGCCGCAGAAACGTTCAAAGTATCTCGGACAACATTAGTACGAAAGATGCTTGGAAAGAATTCAAGACCCGTTGGACATCCGACTGTTTTAAGCAAGTCTGAGGAGCTGTTGGTTTCTGAAACTTTGGCTGTTGTTGCAAATTGGGGGTTCACCTTGACAAAATGTGGTGAAAAAATACCTCGATAAACAAGTGAAACACTTGTAAGAAGAAATAAATACAGTTTTGTTAAAATTTATTTAATATTTTTTAACGTTTAATTCAATAAAAAATGTGTCTTTTACATAAAAATACATTCCTTAATGCTTCAGTTACATTTTTAAGAAACTTGACCATCTGACATGCAAAGTAAGAGATTGTCCCTAAAACCAAGATTAGTGTAAGCCCCAACCACGGAGCTATTCGGACATCACTTTTCTATACATTTTTTGTTGTTTGTATATATATTTTCAACGTTCTATGATAGCTATATAGTCCTGAAGGTTAGGTTGGTATGATGAACAAGTTTCTGGTGTCCTAACTTTATTTCTTCACTTTTAATCTTGAAAAATGCGCAAAAAACGTGTCCAAGTAACCTCATATTACGGAACCAGGCCCTGTAATAAAGGTAACAGCACTCCCCCTTGGGGACATACTCTTAGCGCCTTTATAGTCAGCGACTCGCCTCCCAGACTGGCTGTGATCTGCCGACTTTTCAACATACCTAACTATACACCATTTGATTGTCGACGGATGTATATCTTTTACGTTTAGAGCCTTCTCTATGGATTCATAGGAGGTGTTATCAAGAGCACCCTCTATGTCTATGAAAGCACATACACTGAGGGAAATTATTCTTGACTTTCAAGAAAAATGTATTCTTGAATGTATTTCTTAGAAACAAGTGTAAGATACTCTTAAATCAAAAATATTTTTTTGTTTTAAGAATAGAAATATTATCGAATGAAGTATATCATATTCTTAGCATCGAAGAATATCAATTTTTTCTATCCATTTTTTCTAAAAAGAAAGATACGTTATTCTTGACTTAAAAAGTCTATTCTCGATACGAAAATGGGGTTGTTGACGCAACGCTAAGATACTCTTTTTCAAGATTATTGATTTACTTTCACTAAGAATTCGTTTTCTTGAGAATCAAAAATATTTGTATAGTACTTGCTTTGAGAATATGTGGTTTTTTTTCACTCAACAAAATGATCTTCTTGTGGATATACAAGAATATGATAAACTTAAGCCAAGAGTAATAATCTTCGTTCAAGAATATATTTCCGACAGTGTAGGGCTATCTCTTTGGTTGCAATTGCCTCCTCTAAAGTGGTAGTGAAAGCATGTAATTGTTGATTTTGCTTTCTGGTAAGCATGTTGGCTAGGGTGGGTGGAGTGGACAAGCACTCCATTCATAAGTATTGATCGATTACCTTTTCCATTCCTTTGAGGAGAAATGAACTTAGGCTAATTGGTCTGTATGCCTTGGGGTCGGCCTTTGAACGCCTACCGCCTTTAGGTATGAAGACCATCTTTATTTTCCTCCATATATAGGGATGTTATTACTGGGATCAGGCCTTCTAGGCCTTTTTGCAGAAAAATAGGCAAAATTCCATCTCCTTACTCTGTTGGGTGTAAAAATGTTCCCAGCTATGCTGCGAACCCTACCGATGGACGGGTTATGTCCATTACTTTTGAGGAAGGGAAGTGTGTACTCAGTAGGAGCTCCAACGATTCCTAGATCAGTATTGTGATCTTTTGCCAAGATTTTATGCAGACGAGCAACTGCAGGCGTATTGTCTATGCCTTCACAGAAGAGTATTCACCTAACCATTCTAATTTGAAAACTTTTTTACCTAAACCCTATCTATATTGTTACCGTTTGCCTTAAAGTTATGATTACAGTTTTGTACTCATATAATTTTTACCGTTTTCTTACCACTATCATCGTTTGTTATCTCCACTTAAAATACAACTTGAATTAGAACTGTCTGATAAGCTCATTTTTGATTTATATGTTTCTTATCTAACAATAAATCAAGTATTAGATTTCATATTTGATCTTAATTTTGGTATATTATATGTTATATAATATACTAAAATATGTGTTGTTTGGTATAAATGTATTATATATATATTACATAATCAAAACAATATAAAAATATAGTTTATTATGTCTAGACAGTTTTTAAGATGAATCATTTTGTAACTAAAAGTATCTCTTTATTTCATAAAAGGCATTAAGTAGCAATAAGTCAAATAATAAATTAGTTTCCATTAAAATCTGTTTTGTTTATTTTTAAATAATTTATCATCAAAAGACAATGACAACGTCAAAAAGATATTAAAGATTAAAGAAGACAAAGACCTAATTTATCTTAATTAATATATTTAAGATAATACTCTAATATGTTTATTTTAAAACTAAATTGAATATAATGAATATCTTACCGAAGAAGTGCTTCCACTAACAGTTAAAATTTCTGTACTTCTATTCATTGTTTCCGCACACTATTCCACTTCAGAAACTCAAATACTGTTTAAAGTACCTTATATTATAAATATATACCTAAAAGATAAAATTTATCTTAACTACTTGCTATCAATAAATAATTTTTGTATTGACACTTACACGTTTAAAGACACTTTAAAAATCGATTGCGAAATCCACCTTTAAAAATGTATACTAACTCGTCTCACTTTCGAAATACTTTCCCAGTTACATCATTCAATTTCCCGGTGATTTATTGTCGTTAAACCACAATTTTATTCCTATAAGTTGTAAATATCTCGTTAAAATGTAAACAATACTTGATCTCCAATAACAAGAATATATCTTCGATACACGACACAAAGAAAATTGTTTTTAAACGAATTATAAATAATAATGTTGATAACGAACCAGGGCGATGATACGTTTAGTGATTACTGGAAGTGTTACGACTGACTTTGCGCTTTGATTTAAAACGGTTTCATGCCAGGAATAGCAAATAAACACAAATTAACATTCAAATTAATCTAACTGTTTGAACGAATCAATGAATGCGAATTTTCGTAAACAGATGGGATTTAAAACTATTAAATGTTGTGTCATTAATTCAAGGTCTACAGGATTTTTAATGACGTAATGATAATTTAATGATTTGCGGTATTAAAAAAATAATAAATCGAAGAATAGGATAAAATCTTTCTTAATAAACGTAATAAATACATAAAAAATAAAATCTAAAATACAATTATTTATAATAAAATCTTAAAATCTCACGTTTCGAGTATATTAATAATAATAAAAACTTTCACTTCTTATTCTCAACAACTATGTTTTTTGTGTTACATCACAATAGTTTGAGTTGACTGAGCGTAACATAAATTACGATCCAGATTCCTAAAGCTACAAGAAAGGTGACCAAAAATATTGTCTTGTTTCGATGCCATGGGCTTCCCGTTGCCATTTCTGGGAGCGAAAACCTCATTCTCGCCGCTTGACATACTTCCGGTTTGCAAGAAGTTGATGGTTGAACCATCGCATCCGTTGTAACACCGTTCGAAGGTTTCTTCTCCATCGAAAAGCTTTCTTTTAATTCCACACCGGTTTCTGCATCCCTTTGAAAACCCCTATTTTCCATCTGAAAAATATACAAAAATAATAAGTCAGTGTAGTAAATATTGATGTCAAGAGAAATTAAAATCGTAACAAAAATTATTAAAATCAAATTTTTATCTTTGTTTGTTTTTAAATAAATATTAGTAAATTTCCATACTTTCTTAAACATTTTGATGTTTTCCATAAAAACCGAGGCTAAGAAATTCTTCTTCTATTAAACGCTTCAGATGTATAAATCGTAATGTTTAACACTTTTGTAACTAAAAATTAATACACAAACTTGTAATTTATTGAGACAACTTAACCGTATTAATACAAAATCGCCTTCTCTGTTGAGTTATACGAATCTAACTGACGGAGATAAACTACAATCGTAATACTACCTAACCGTCGTCTTATCTTTGCGGCGAACCGAAAGTCACGAAAACGACAAGCTATGTATGATGATGGCAAAACAACGCGGTTGTAATCGTCGATTCGGTGAAGTTGGTTTGAATATCGGTGTTGTTTTCGGTTTATTTTACGAGTCGAGCGATAATATCGGCGAATTGGCTATTGTTTCTAAGGTGTTATCGTATTCCGTTAGATGTTAAAAAAGGAATAAAAGAACAAGAAAGTGACAACGATTTTTTCTTTTTCATTTATTGTTGGCTTGTGGCAACTTTATTGGATGAATTGAAAGGTTTTTGTGTTTTGAGGAATTTCAATTGAGGTGATTGACATTTTGATGAGTCTTACGAAAGGAATTGCGAATATTTAGAAATGGGTTGGTTTTACAGGTTTTATTTGTAATGCTGCCGCATGAATTAAACTACTCATGCTACACTAAATGAAACTCTGCCTTAATTAAGGTTAGTTAAAAAATTCAAAAAATCACTCAGAGGTTAATTTTAAAGTTTAAGAAACGATTTCGGTATTAAATTAAAGCTAAATTCTTAATCTATATAATATATTTATAAAGAAATTGTTATATTTATATTACAAAATTTGGAGATATTTTCAAAAATATGGAACTTTGCTTTAATTGGGATTTGTTAAAAAATCGATAAAATTCAAAAAATCGCTCAGAGGTTAACTTTAAAATTTAAGAAACGATTTTGTTGTTATATTAAAGATAAATTTTTCCTTTTTAAGAATTCGTAAAAAAATTGTTATATTTATATCATAAAATGTTGAGATATTTAAAAAAATATAGAACTTCGCTATAATTACAATTTGTTAAAACATCGATAAAATTCAAAAAATCGCTCAGAGGTTAACATTAAAGTTTAAGAAACGATTTCGGTGATAAATTAAAGCTAATTTTTTTCTCTTTAAGAATTCACAAACAAATTGTTGTATTTACATCATAAAATTCGCAGATATTTAAAAAAATATAGAACTGTTTAAATTCGGATTTGTTAAAAAAACCGTAAAATTCAAAAAATCATTCGGAGGTTAACTTTAAAGTTTAAGAAACGATTTCGGTGATATATTAAAGCAAAATTCTTCCTCTTTAAGAATTTGCAAAGAAATTGTTATATTTATATTATAAAATTCTGAGATGCTTTAATATATATGGTACTCTGCCTTAATTAAGGTGAGTTAAAAAATTCAAAAAATCACTCAGAGGTTAATTTTAAAGTTTAAGAAACGATTTCGCTTTTAAATTAAAGTTAAATTCTTCCTCTTTAAGAATTCGCAAAGAAATTGTTATATTTACATCATAAAATTCTGAGATATTTTAAAAAATATAGAACTGTTTTAATTGGAATTTCATAAAAAAATAGGATAAAATTCAAAAAATCACTCAGAGGTTAATTTTAAAGTTTAAGAAACGATTTTGGTGTTGAATTAAAGCTAAATTTTTCTTCTTTAAGAATTCGTAAAGAAATGTTTATATTTCATATCATAAAATTCTGAGATATTTTAAAAAATATAGAACTGTTTTAATTGGGACTTGTTAAAAAATGGATAAAATTCAAAAAATCACCCAGAGGTTAACTTTAAAGTTTAAGAAACGATTTTGGTGTTATATTAAAGCTAAATTCTTCCTTTTTAAGAATTCGCAAAGAAATTGTTATATTTATATCATAAAATTCTGAGATACTTTAATAAATATGGATCTGCTTTAATTGGGATTTGTTAAAAAGTCGGTGAAATTCAAAAAATCGCTCAGAGGTTACCTTTAAAGTTTAAGAAACGATTTTCGTGTTAAATTCAAGCTAAATTTTTCCTCTATAAGAATTCGCAAAGAAACTGTTACATTTATATTATAAAATTTTGAGATATGTACTTTAATAAATATGGGAGCTGCTTTAATTGAGGTTAGTTAAAAAATCCATAATATTCAGAGAATCACCAAGAGGTTAACTTTAAAGTTTAAGAAACGATTTCGGTATTAAATTAAAGCTAAATTCTTCCTCTTTAAGAATTCGCAAAGAAATTGTTATATTTACATCATAAAATTCTGAGATATTTTAAAAAATATAGAACTGTTTTAATTGGAATTTCATAAAAAAAATCGATAAAATTCAAAAAATCACTCAGAGGTTAACTTTAAAGTTTAAGAAACGATTTTGGTGTTGAATTAAAGCTAAATTTTTCTTCTTTAAGAATTCGTAAAGAAATGTTTATATTTATATCATAAAATACTGAGATATTTTAAAAAATATAGAACTGTTTTAATTGGGATTTGTTAAAAAATCGGTAAAATTTAAAAACTATCTCAGAAGTTAATTTTAAAGTTTAAGAAACGATTTTGGTGCTCAATTAAAGCTAAATTTTCCTCTTTAAAATTTGCAAAGAAACTTTTATATTTATATCATAATATTTTGAGGTATTTTAAAAAATAAAGATCTCCGCTACAATTGAAATTTGTAAAAAAATCGATAAAATTCAAAAAATCGCTCAGAGGTTCACATTAAAGTTTAAGAAACGGTTTTGGTGTTAAATTAAAGCTAAATTCTTCCTCTTTAAGAATTCGCAAAGATTATGTTATATTTATATTATAAAATTCTGAGATACATTAATAAATANTCATAGGTTAGTTAAAAAATCGATGATATTCAGAGAATCACTCAGAGGTTAATTTTAAAGTTTAAGAAACGATTTTGGTGTTGAATTAAAGCTAAATTTTTCTTCTTTAAGAATTCGTAAAGAAATTTTTATATTTATATCATAAAATTCTGAGATATTTTAAAAAATATAGAACTGTTTTAATTGGAATTTCATAAAAAACATCGATAAAATTCAAAAAATCACTCAGAGGTTAACTTTAAAGTTTAAGAAACGATTTTGGTGTTAAATTAAAGCTGAATTCTTCCTCAATAAGAATTCGCAAAGAAACTGTTACATTTATATTATAAAATTCTGAGATACTTTAATAAATATGGAACTCTGCTTTAATTGAGGTTAATTTAAAAAATCGATGATAGTCAGAGGAATCACTCAGACTTTAATTTTAAAGTTTAAGAAACAATTTTGGTGTTAAATTAATGCTAAATTTTTCTTCTTTAAGAATTCGCAAAGAAAGTGTTATATTTACATCATAAAATTCTGAGATATTTTAAAAAATATAGAACTCTTAATTGGGATTTGTTAAAAAATCGGAAAAATTCAAAAATTCACTCAGAGGTTATCTTTAAAGTTTAAGAAACGATTTCGGTGATATATTAAAGCAAAATTCTTCCTCTTTAAGAATTCGCAAAGAAATTTTTATATTTATATCATAAAATTTCGAGATATTTTAAAAAATATATAACTCCGCTATAATTGAAATTTGTTAAAAAATCGATAAAATTCAAAAAATCGCTCAGAGGTTAACTTTAAAGTTTAAGAAACGATTTTGGTGTTAAATTAAAGCTAAATTCTTCCTCTTTATATATTTATAAAGAAATTATTATATTTATATTACAAAATTTTGAGATATTTTCAAAAATATGGAACTCTGCTTTAATTGGGATTTGTTAAAAAATCGATAAAATTCAAAAAATCACTCAGAGATTCTGTAAAGTTTAAGAAACGATTTTGGTGTTAAATTAAAGCTAAATTCTTTCCCTTTAAGAATTCGTAAAGAAATTTTTATAGTTATATCATAAAATTTGTGGATATTTTAAAAAATATAGAACTCCGCTATAATTGAAATTTGTTAAAAAATCGGTAAAATTCAAAAAATCACTCAGAGATTAAGTTTAAGAAACGATTTTCGTGTTAAATTAAAGCTAAATTCTTCCTCTATAAGAATTCGCAAAGAAACTGTTACATTTATATTATAAAATTCTGAGATATGTACTTTAATAAATATGGGAGCTGCTTTAATTGAGGTTAGTTAAAAAATCCATGATATTGAGATAATCACCAAGAGGTTAACTTTAAAGTTTAAGAAACGATTTCGGTGATATATTAAAGCTAAATGTTATCTCTTTAAGAATTCGCAAAGAAATTGTTATATTTATCTCGTAAAATTCTGAGATATTTTAATAAATATGGAACTCTGCTTTAATTGGGATTTGTTAAAAAGTCGATTAAATTCAAAAAATCACTCAGACGTTATCTTTAAAGTTTATGAAACGATTTTGGTGTTAAATTAAAGCTAAATTCTTCCTCTGTAAGAAGTCGCAAAGAAATTTTTATATTAATATCATAAAATTTTGAGATATTTTAAAAAATATATAACTCCGCTAAAATTGAAAATTGTTAAAAAATCGATAAAATTCAAAAAATCGCTCAGAGGTAAACTTTAAAGTTTAAGAAACGATTTTGGTGTTATATTAAAGATAANCCTGAACCATCTCTCTCTCTTCAATCGTTGTGACCCTTCCCCATGCCTATCTGTCCTTTAGAGAACGCATCACTTGGGAAACCAACATCTATGACAGATCCTTTACTTGGTCTATATATCTCACCGGTTACCTGCCTTTTGACCTTTTGGTGGTCCAGAATTCTGAATTATATACATTGTATTGCATTGTATTGCTATGTATGTATTATATTCATAAAGCTTTTCAATGATCTTCAGTCTTAGATTTAAAATTTGGTCTATTGTGCCTCGTCCCAGCACAAACCCGCTTATTGTAAGGGTATATTTGGGAGAAGTTAGGTTTCGAGCCTTTTTTGTATGATATACAGTAATACTTCTATAGTTACTGCATTCACCTTTTGGCCTTTTCCTATGTAATGGATATATACAGACTTCGTCAATTTTTCTGGTCATTTTCCAATTTCCCATATTTCTGGACAAATTCGGTGTAACAAAGGAATAGCCTTGGTTCCAGTAATTTCTATCCATCAATTCTTGAAGATCTGTATATACAGGGTATATCAAATGTCTGGAATATAGTCAATAATTTCGCTATTTGTAAAAGTTAAAAAAATAAAAGTTTCAAGTTTAAGTGATAGATTGTCTATTAGCTAATACTATTTTTATTATAGTTATACACTTTTATAATTATTTCGCTTAACTTTCTTTTAATTTTTAATTTCATTACACCTTCTTAATTATTTTAAAATATCCATACAAAATCATTTAATCTGTCCCGAACGTATATAATACTTTGAATATAATTTTTAGTTTTATGAATTCGTACAAAAACGAACAACACATCATGCAGTTTTTAAAAAGCATTCACGTTACTCTTTAACCTTGACGTATTATAATAATGCAAAAAATTCTATTTAAAAATCGCGTTGAATTTCAAATAAAATAAAATTAAAAGATACAATAACCTATAAACACAATTATTATATGCGTACCTTGATATTATAAAAAGGACTTAAATAGATCAAATATCGAATTCCTTTCCAAGTACTAAAACGATTATAACTTCCTTTCACTTTTACTTATAACAAAATCAAATAAAA